TTCAGTGTGACAAAGGTTCCTTTCAGAATTGATTGCACTGTTACACTTAATTGATGAATGCAGTAACAGGCAGTTTAATTATGTTAGCCTTCTGCTTAAAGCAACAGGTAGTTGCTTAAAGGCAACAGGTAGTTTCTCAGTACCAGGATAGGACACTGCATGTTTTAACACATGTGACCATTACTTTTAATGTTGAACAAAACTTGAAAGAATGGAAAAACAAATGGTATAGAATTCATTTAAACATGAATAGATTCTGCAAAGGATAATAGATAAAAATGTTTTTCAGCTTAAAAAAACCAAAATGCAGAACAATGGTTTTCTGCTAGGTCTGCTTTTGTGAGAAGAAGCTGAGTCTACTCTTAACCCCAGGAAATGAGGGATTCCAGGTGGTTTTTTTTCCTGGTATTGCTAGAAGTCTAGCTTTAGCCAGGTCAGTTAAATCCAGAACTGTGAGAATGATTAGGCTTTTGTTGCTATGCAGTGCTAGGCCTAAGTGTGTCAAAACTTTGACTCGAGGCTTTGTAAAATTGTCTTTTATCTAAATTCTTTGCAAGTAATTGCATTTTAGGCATTCCACATTGCAGCTGAACAAGAGAAACCAAGTGCAGCTGCACTGTCAGGACTTCTGTCATGTTTGCAGCTGTACTGTTCAGGGTTTCTTCACTGATGCTTCAATAGCAGGCAGCTGGCTCAGATCTTCTTTCCTTATTGTTCTGACTTTAGACGACTAACATTAGACAGTCCTCACTCTTATACCCAAATTCATGCTGCTCTTCAGGGACATGCTTTTTCCCAGGGTCTCAAAGCTCCTGCCTTGACCTGTGAAGTGCAGGGTGTGACAGGCAGTGTTTGGCTGCAGGCAGTGTTGCCTGGCAGCCCAGGAGCAGATGTGTGCTGAGTCTCTCAGCAGATGGAGCAGTGAGTCAGCCTGAGGCGTTGCAAGGGCAAAGCAAAGGCTTTGACCTCTGTATGCAGAGGGGCTAAACAGCAATATCCGTTGCAGCTCTGAAGGAAAGATTGGCCTCTTGATTACAGGGAAGGGATTGCGGTCCCAATAGAGAAATGCATGAGGAGCATTATGGCATGGCCTACATATACTAATAATGCTGGATGGATTTTATGCAAATATCCAGAGAAAATTTATAATCTTAGATCTCCACAAAGGTTCTAGGATGTTCTTAGGACGGAAAAATCATATGAGGAAACTGGATGTGTTTTCCATATGCTGGTGCCTTTTTTTCCTTCTCCATTCTGGGGAAGGGGGTTATTTGCAAGGCACATTCAGTCGCTGTTCTGCATTGTCTTCTCTGTGTCATGGTGTGACCCTGCCCTCCTAATATAAGTAAGATGCTAACAATAATAGATCAAAATTCAGTCTCAAAGAAATTAAGACATCTTGTTTGCAGTGTAATGCTATAATGCTATAACAAATTAAGACAGAGGTCCCCTAATTTTATATGACACTTTTCTGTCTTTTTTTTTGAGCTTCTAATTCAAATTCTAGCTGTGAGTCTGTTACAGTGCTCCTGGTCCTAGTAAGTGAAATGTTCAGGTTTTATTTATATCTGTAATTACAGATGCTCTGTGCTGCTGCTTCAGAGAACAGGTGAGGGGCTCACAGGTACTGTGGCAGAAATGGCAAATTTCGAGGAGTTGTAGTGTCTGGGGAAGAAAAGTCACAGTGCAGTCTGAAGTGAGGGGAGTTGGGGGTAAGGTGTTAGTGTAAGCTCTGGATGACAGTTTGGTGTTCCCTGTATTCATTCCCCTTTCTGGTAGCCTTTGGAGCACATAGCTGGACCGTCTAAATAGCTTCTCACCTGCCACCTGCTCCAGCAGCACAAGGGGAGTTGCTGTCCTGGAAATTCCTTTGAAGCTCATGTGGATTTCAGAGCAGCTCAGTATGCAGCAATAGTGCTGTCACCTACCCGTGTCCTCCTCCGCTGCCATGGCAGTGTTTGACCCAGTGTAGGGTCAGACATCCAGCTGATTGTGAAACTGACACCTGGTGTATCACCAGAATCAGATTGATAACAAGTAGAAGACCTGGCACCTTTTGTCCATGCCACAGCAAAATTGTGGGGGTATTTTTGTTTTGTATTTGGGATCTAAATCCTTAAACAGAGGGTACTACATGGAGGTGTATTATAAAGCTTAAATCATTACCAATTGAAAACGGCTTTACTGCCCCTGCATTCCTTGGAGAGTTGTTAATTTTCCTTGTGTTTTCTGCAGATGCTGGGATAGGGTGGCTCAATGTAGTTCACAGATTTGCTATGTTACTTAGAAAAATTTGATGAAGTGCAGAAAATAATTGGGATATTTATATGTAAGTCTGCAACATGGGCAGTTGTAGAACAGGAAGGATTTTCTCTGGCACTGACTTGTGTATGTGGATGTTTGCCTGAAGAAGTGCTGGACTATCACATGTACTGGTGTGAAGTAATTTTCAGTTGTGTAAAGCATTGTCTTGGAAAGAAACAATATTGTTTATTAAAAAAAAAGCATAGCTATTGTGTGATGTGTGGCAAGTAAAAATCTTAGTGGAGTTCATGCATTTTTAGGGCTGTCAGCTGAAAATCTCTATAGAGTGAAACTTTTCTAACCAGCAGTTTAAGTCTAGTAAAAATCTCTGCGACTTTTCTCTGTGACAAACGAGGGGAAAGAAGTAAGTTATTAATTTGTTTTCCTTGGGGTTTGAACCTCTTGCATCCGTTTGGGAAAAGATTAAAGGGACATTTTGCCTTAGAGAGCGCTCCAACAGTGAAGGGCATAGGAAACGTGGGAGGGGTTGGGTTTGGGGTGGGTTTGTAGTGGGCTGACTGCTGGAAACAGGAAGAGGGTTGGGGTTGGTTTTGCTTTCCAATTTATTTTTAATGCAAAAGGTACATACATTTCTCTACTCACATCATTCATGCGTTTTTTATATATTTTACATATAACAGAAAGCAGCATGCTAAACCTCACATTGCATTGCCCCACATATCTATAGAGATACAAGCAAATTGAAGAATGGATTTAAATTGATGTTACATTTTGCTACTGATCTGGGACAAGTGGGAAGGAAAAGCATCACTTGATTTTATAAAGTGCCTGTCTGACACCTGTAAAGCTATGTTATTGGAGGATAAAAATAGCCTGAGGTTATGGATTTTATATTCCTATACCTGTATTTATAAGCAATGTGGTAGGACATATTTTACCTGGCTTAGAAGCTGTGGAATTTTTTTTATACTTCAATATTTAATTTCCTGTTTGATCTTTTTGGCTTTATTTTATGAACTACAACGTTCCAGAAAAAAAATACTTCTGATGATGTTTGCCTTTAGTTTTGACTTTTCTCTGTCAATTCTAGTTGCTGTAAAATTAATCAAATTTGAGAAAAGACAGATACAATTGGTACCTAGGATAGACTGAATGTATTAGAAAGTTATATTTAAATCAGCAAGTATAAAATTTCTTTTGTTAATTGCTACTATACATCTGGAATCCTCTCTGAGTAAAAATTTCTGAGACATTCAATATTGTAAGCTCTGACTTCTGTGGAATCTGCAAGATCTGAGGTGCTTTTGAAAATCTTGCCAAAGTGTCAGAGGAGGAAAGGAAACATAAAACTATTGCTATGTCTTTATCTTTCAGGGCAGAACAATGTTGCACGAGGGAAGTGGCTTCATTGCCAAACAGATCATCTTTCCTTTCAGAACCCTGTTCCTGCCTAATCCTCTTCTGACAGGAAAAATACTGTAATAATATAAATACCCTGAGAGCTATGAGTGTAGATGTGGAGCATTAAAGAGAACATTTGTTCGTAGGACTGTGATGTGAAATCGTGTATGATCATAATGATGACTAAATGCTGTGACTGCCCAAGTTTCTATAAAAATTTTCATACCTTTAGGTTCAAAAGAAAGATGCAGGATGTTTGTTTTGGAGAACTGAGGAGTGGAAGGGAACACTCTATGAATATTTCAGAGGTCAGAGAAGAGACAGCTTTTCAGGTATACTTTCTATGGGATGACTGCATTCCTGTGTCTCTGGACCCTTACCGCTGCTCAGAAGGTCCAGCCCTAGCCTGGGACCTGCCTGACCTACCTGTGAACCACACACAACTGAAGAACCACTGGTGCTCATCTTTGTCACTTTTACACCCAGTATGAATACTGACTGAAGGCAAAACTGTGTGAGGCAGGACTGAGGGAGGGCAGCTGCTTTCTGGTACTGGCTATCAGAAATTCACTGGGTATTATTGCAGCTATCATTATGCATGGTTTCTTAAAGTCTTTGCTTTGGTGTGCTGGTACCTAATATTGAAGGGAAGAAAACATGAGCTTTTGCTGCTCAAGTCTTTGAAAAATGCCCAGTAAGATGCTGTGGAAAATTTGCCCTAAGTAAGCTATTGTGTTTAGGAGAGTGAAGCACATTCAACAACCATTTTGTCTAGACCAGGCTATTTTAGAAACGTAGCGACTGAGTTTTCTGAAAGTCATATTTTGTTTAGGAGAATACTGGAATATATTTTTCTTGTGTGTTTGTCAGAGAGTTTAAATCAAACAAAGAACCTCAAAGAAGTAAGTCTTTAAAGATTTGAAGGGATGGGCTTTAGAGTAAATGTATCCTGTTTTTAAGGAAATTGACATTTGTCTCTTCATGTTGTACTGCAGGTTTTTGTGCTTTGCGTGATGATGGGAATTAGTTCCAAGCCAGGCTGATGATTGATTGAACTGAGTCAACTTTTGTTGAGGTTTCCAAAGCATTGCACAAGAGGTTTGAGGGGAGAAAGTTTGGGGGCATGTGACCATTAATCTCATTAGCAGTAAGAATGAAGTTTAAGCATACTGTTCAAAATTCACTCTGTTCTGTGCTGCTCTTTGTTTTAATTAACAATCTCCTGCATAGATTGGGAGCGTAAACTTCTTTCCCCTTTAGTCCAATTAAATCATGCTTGGAAGCTGTCAATGGTGGGGGGAACTCCTCCCTACCCCCCTTTTAATTTTTCAGCAAGTCTGTTGAATAATGAAAGAATTTGCCTGACAGGGTTTTGTAGTGTTTCCTCTTCTTGATGAATTATTGCAGAGGATAGACGACAGTCTTTTGTTGAAAATGCATTGGAATGACTCATCCAATTCCTCAGAAAGTGACAATGAAGCTCATTCAGCCTTCACACAGACTGAGCACAACATAGTTGCAGCTTACTTAATAACAGCAGGTATGGGCATTGGCGAATTGTTGCGTAACTTTTTAAAATAGAACTTGTAGATCTGAATGCTCATTTCATACAGTAACCGTGATGGTATTTCATTTTGTATTGGACAGCTGTCTGATGGCTTTTTTCCATGTTTACTGACAAGTTAGCAATCAGCTGCCTGACTGAAATATGCAGAAACATCTGAAGTGTGCAGAATCTAAGTTTTCTGCTCTATATTTGAAGGCAGCATTGTCTCAAAAAATACACTTTGTTGATATGTAATTATAGAAGAGAGTGAGAATTAGTTTCTGCCAGCTTGCAAAAGAGATAAAAATAGGGCATAGCTATGCCTTGCATTTTTCTGTGATGCACATCTTGCATTTTTCTGTGATGTGCTCAAAGCTGTCTTGAGATTTCTCCTGGGCCACATGTTTGTAGTAATATATGTGTAGTCTGAGCATGTGAGCGGGTGTCTGTTAGGGGGATGTAAGGGGAAGGGTTGGAATGTGACTTAGAGGGAGGGAGCTGGTCATTAATCAGAGAAGAGCAGATTCCAGTTGCAGCTGTATTTTTCACCACTGACATGTGTTAGAATCTAAGTCACATCATGTTTGTTCCCTGTGACTGCAGTGGTCTTTGGCTAAACTTGAATGATTATACAATTGTTTTTATTCTCTCCTTAAAAACTTTCTTATTGTATAACCACAATTTCTTCAGTGGTACTTTTCTGAAGCAGTGAGTACCATAATAATGAAATATCCACCTAACCAAAACTGAAGCCTACTGTGTTTAAAAACCGGCCTTCTAGACCTTTATTATGGAAAATCAAATCAGTTTAGTCATTATTCACTGACTATACCATAAATTTTCCCATGTTGTAGTTAGATTTTAAAATACTTTAAATTATTAATGTATTTTACATTTACGTATCACCGATGGTTGCAGTTTATTTAGCATACATGTCTGAAGTGGTGAGTATCAAATTGCTGCTCTGGAAAAGTGTCTGTGTTTGGATCCAATAATTTATTTAAGATCTTTGGAGAAATTAATAGAACAGCTACACAGAGCAGTAGGCTTCTTAAGAAGCTGTAAATAGATAAATAATGGTCAAGTATTGGAAGTAGATATACCTCTTATACTTTCATTAAAATTGATTATGTAGTATGTGACAAGGTGATATTTTCTGATAGTTTTGACCAGCTGATGTTCAGGATCAAAGCTATCATTGGTGATCATAGGTTATCAATGGAATTAGCCAGAATCAACCCAGCTCTTCTGTCTTAATCTTGCAAGGAAATTAAATGACTTGTGAGGAAAAAAAAAGTTGGATTACTTTGTGGTTTTAGGTTTTTTTCATTTTTTATTTCTAATTATAGTTCGGGGGTCTAATAAATCTTTACTTTCTTAATGAGAAATGTTTTTGACAATGAAGTCCATAAAATATTTGAAAGCATGATTGATTGCTTTGCAAAAGCCTTACCACAGCAAATTTCACATCTGGAAGACTTAAGCCTTGTTAATAAGTAGAAGTATAAGAATAAGAATGATGTCTGGGTACAGTGTTTGTCATTATGCTGCTCTTTAAAAGATTTAGGTGTTTCTTTCTTGTTTTCTGAGAAGGAAATAATTGTTAAGCATTTCCCATGTCAGAGTATTCATATCTGTAATGACAACAGGGATACTGAGGCTGTAGCAAGCTATGCTGCCTCATGGGTGTCTTTCTTCTAATAGTGGTGAAATACTCTGGTATTTTAAAATGCCAGCTGGAAAGGTAAATTACAAGTTATACATGTATAGCTGATTTTTTTTTTTTTTTACTTTGATGCTACTACCCAACATTGCCATGTCCCACCCTAGACTATGTCTCTAAGCATCTACACCTTCCAAGGGGTGGCAACTCAACCAGTTTGTTGGGCAGCCTGTTCCAGTGCTTGATAAGCCTTACCGTGAAGAAAGTTTTCCTGATATCCAAAAGTACTCTTCCCTGGTGCAACTTGAGGCCATTTTCTCTCACCTTATTGCTTGTTCCTTGGGAAAAGAGACCATCTCCCACCTGGCTTCACCCTCCTTTCAGGTGGTTGTAGAGAACGTTAAGGTCAACTTAACCCTCCTTTTCTCCAGGCTGAACAAACCTGGCTCCCTCAGCTGCTCCTCAAAAGATTTGTGCTCCAGCACTTTGACCAGCTTCAATGCTCTTTTAATAGATGCTGCTTAACTGCTGCCTGAGAAACGTCATTCATCTGCTTGACCTGTTCCTCAGAAACAGAGAAGAGAGAATTTCTTGTATCCACATGTTTTTTTCTCACTTTATTCAAGATGGAATCCATCTTCCATCTTCTATTTTGTTCTTCAAAACATTCTTTTTTTTGCTCTACTATTAGTTTATTTTAGTGATAGTGACATTTTTAATGAATATAGATTCCACTTTTTCATCTGTTTTTTGTTTCCCCTCTCTCCCCCTGCTTACTTTTAAGACTGGACACTGAATTATGAAATTTAAGTGTCTAGAAGGATCTTTTCTTCACTCTGAGGGTGTAAGTTTGCAGTCTGTTGTATGTCAGATTTCATTATTGGTAGCTGTAATATCTGTTAAAACATGCCTCCTAAGAAGCCTTTATTATTAAACTTGTAAATCTCCTTTGCTCCCTCTCTCCAAGAGAAGACATGCTATCTGTCAACAGGAGAGCTGACAGAACTGTCACTGCAAGTGTTTTTTTTACTATGGTTTTCATTTCAGATCAGATCCTCAGCTCCTTGTTTATTTAAATTTTAGGGGTGCATAGGAACAGTGCCATTCCTGAAATGTGTGAGTAGATGAATACAGTAGATGGTGCTATCTGTGTGGCCAAAAAATGTCTCCAACAGGAGACCTGCACCTGAGAACAGACATATTTGGTGGTGTTAAAAGAGAGATAGCCGAGGGTTAATTATCATTTTGCCTCATTTGATTTTAAAATTACCTAATCTCATGGTTTGGCAGGGGCCTTCTGCTAGATCAGGTGCATAAGCTTTTTTTCCAACACTTTTTTTTTTGTCGGTCACCAACCTGCATTCTTCTTTACCATGGAGGTCAGCACTGTACTTTGTGGCCAGAGTGTTTTGAGTGTAATCCTAGATGCATTTGAATTTCTGCTATGCTTGTTCTCATTGCATCAAAAGTCTTGGGTTTGGCAAATTCTTCACTGTTGGCGCTTACTGAATCCGTCTGAAGGTTGCCTAATTGGAAAAGCTTTTTTCTCCTTTTCTATGGTGTCTATCCTCTTTGGAAAATTGTACTTGACTGAAAAGAAGTAATTTTTGGGACTTACATATTACAATAGACTTAATTTTCTTCTGCATATGTATTACTGACTGGTATGTACCTTTTGTAAAGTTTTCATTTTTCTGTTTTTACAGGTGTGATAAGCATTTTCAGTAACATTGTTGTGTTAGGCATCTTTGTTAAGTACAAGGAGCTTCGGACAGCAACCAACGCAATTATTATCAACTTGGCTTTTACTGATATTGGTGTTAGTGGCATTGGTTACCCCATGTCTGCTGCCTCAGACCTGCATGGAAGCTGGAAATTTGGATATACCGGATGCCAGGTATTGCAATTCTGTTAGAGAGAAAGTTTTCAGCACTTAAAAGCAAACTGAGAAATAAGTAATGGCTCTACCTCCTGTTATTTTAAGAGGTAAGGTGGAGATGCAGAATGATCCAGAACTCTGGACCTGAAGCTGATCTGTGATGTCAGCAATTTCTGGAGACAGTATTTTGTGTGAATTTCACTTTAATGTTTTCAGACTGTAAATACAAACTTAAAGTGTAATCTTATATTTGTCAACTAGACATTTTAAAATAGCATTAAGAAGGCTTATAAAATCAAATCCTGAAATAGAGATGGTTATAGTAGCAGAGGCACATTTGATGATTTTGCTGATAGCTAAAAATCTTTGATTGTGGCTACTGTGTTGATGGTGAGCTTGACAGATCTTGGTGAGTTGTGCTTGGCAAATGCATGTCCCTTTTGGATGGGACCTAATAGGATATCCAAAATGAACGCCTCTAAGGCTTTTGGTCTCCATTAAAGATTTAGCCTACCTTTAAGAGCTTTCTATTAAGAATAGGCTGACTGAAAAATGTATACTTCCATAGCAGAGATAGTGGCCTTTGCTCACTCTGTATTGTGATTTTAGTTTATATTATTGATAGACTGTTGGGCTTAAGTGCCCAGGAATACAAGTAGTGATGTGAAGGCATATACTGAAAATCTGTCATAAGGCAAATATTTTGGATATTTATATAATGATGATTATCACAGTCTGACTTCACTTTCCTCAGTACACAGTACCTTCAAGCTCAAAATTCAGTCCTTTGGCAGGAAGGCTCACTTTTAATATCTTTGGGTTTGGATTGACTTGTGGAGTGTTCAGGTTGATGAGAGATCTCACTGATTAGAGAGTTAAGACCACTTGAAGCAGAACTCATGTCAACCTAAAGCAAATGAATCCTGTGGTCTGAGATGTCTGAATGCCATGTGTTTCTGTTATAACTGCTGGTGCCGTGTGCTCTGGCTCAGGGCTCTGTATTACTGGGGTGCCAGTGGTAACACAGCCCTCCCAGTCATCCTTCCAGGTCAGGCTTCCCATGGGATGATGGGGCAGATGCATTTGGAGCATGCTGGGATTGCTCTGGGCAAAAGATCTGACACACAAAAATGGAGCCTGAGGGGGTAAGTCAGTGGGACATATAGGTGAAATCATCACAACAGATGAAAGAGTGATAATTCAGAACCTCACATGTGCTAAAGCTGTAACTCCTTCTGTTGGACCAAATGCTCCTCAGGTTTCCATAATATATATTGAAAACATGAAATAAACCCCTCCAAATTTCTGAATCTCAAAATTTTCTTGTTGAAGGACAGTGTTTCTTTGATTTTGAGACTGCTGTCTTTAGGATTTTTAATGTGCACACAAGCGGGTGCTTTTGAAATGTTTACTTTTTAATGAGCCACCTTCAAATTTCCTGTACTGCATTAAGACCTTCAAGACCTTGCTTATGGAAGAGAACTCTGGCTGAATTGTGTTGACTTGGTACACAGGTTTATGCTTGTACCTTTGAAAGATTTCTCAGACATTATTTTCTTGCTTGTGTGTTTTAATTTCAGATCTATGCTGCCTTAAATATCTTTTTTGGGATGGCGAGTATTGGTTTGCTGACTGTTGTTGCTGTTGATCGTTACCTGACCATCTGCAGGCCTGACATAGGTACTGGCTTAGGGTCAAAACTCAGTCACCATTGGGAGGAATAAAATTCTGATTTGATTATATTGCTTTCTCGTGAATGACTTCATAGTTACAGTGCTGGGTGGAACTTGAACCTACAGTACCTGGTTAAGTAAGTTAGTTGGCATACTGCTCATTGAAGTGAAAAAATCATCATTAGGCGGTTACTCTGCTTATAAATTAAGTTTTTATGGCCATTTTCAGTCTTTAGAGGGCCACATCCATACAGAGAAGCACACAAAAAGCCTCTGTCTGTGTGAGGTTTTGACCTCTGTCAAGCAGGTGTGTGCCTCTATTGTTAACACCACCCTGGGTGTTTTTCTCTCCTCTGTTAAAGCTGTAACAGTTAATTCCTGCCCTGCAATTTTCCAAGGATGTACTTGAATGCAATGTTGCATAATAAGCTTTTGGCCTGGGGATGGGGTCAGGTATTGCCTGTATGCTGAGTTGGAAAGGGTGATGGTGTTCAAGTGGCTTTGAGATGTCAGTCAGCAGAATGAAACAGGTATGCTACAGTGTTTGGGACTGGGAGCCTTGGGAAGGGTCTTTATTAGCTCGATATGTGCTTGCTGGAAGCCACTTGTCACTCCAGTTTGACACTGGAAAGAAGCAGCAGATGAGAGCTGTTTGTGACTGTCTGTGCTTGGCTGCAGGAAGAAGAATGACCACCCGTAGCTATGCCACTCTCATCCTTGCTGCTTGGATAAATGCAGTTTTCTGGTCTTCCATGCCTACTGCAGGCTGGGCCAGCTACGCTCCAGACCCCACTGGAGCAACGTGCACTGTAAACTGGAGGAAAAACGATGCGTAAGATTCCCCCTCATGCTTTATTTTAACTTGCTGGCTCACTCAGGTCTAAGATTGTTTAATTCACCGCTGTAGGAGCATAACTTCTTTCTGAAGTATGAAGCAAAATTTTAAACAATAATTTAAAGCAATAACAATAACATAGAGCAAGTCTAGAAAAAAATCCCCATAGGAGTTGAGATATGCTTCAAACTTCAATGCTTGTAGTTTCTAATAAAAAAAAAGTAGCTAAAGAAAATTTTCCTTATTATTTCAGAGCTTCTTACAAAATATCATAATCAAAGCAAAATACCAAATTCTTTGGTAACTTTTCCTGGATGGCTATTTGTAAGTTACTCTGTTTTGTTTTTCTGTCTTATCAGGTCCTTTATTTCCTACACAATGAGTGTAATTGCTGTTAATTTTGTTGTGCCCTTAACAGTCATGTTTTACTGTTATTACAATGTTTCCCGGACAATGAAACAGTATGCCAGCAGTAACTGCCTGGAGAGCATTAACATAGATTGGTCTGACCAAGTAGATGTGACAAAGGTAAAGTAGTAAATGTTTTGTTTTAAGCATGTTCTTTGTTTTAAAGTCCTATTGTCAAAGGAATGGTGCAGTCTTGTAAGCATTTTGGTTTCATACATTCCCCCTTTCCTTTTATACTAAATATTAGCTGGTACTGAGCCTTGGTAAAAACTCTTAGCTTGACTTATCACACTAGATTATTTATCTTTGGTCTAGTATCCTTTCCAGATGAATAGCTGGGAGCATTATGAATTTTTCTGGCCTCTCTCCTCTGTCATTACCTAGAAATGCACCTCCAAGGTGCCCTAGGAGGACTTTTACTCTGTGTCTGCAGAGTCCTTAGGCTTCCTGCTTGGTTCACAGATGTGTCTGGTCTGAAATGGATTGGTAAGTCTCAACTGAACTTGTGGCCTAGGAATGAGAGTGCATTTCCAGCTCCCAAGATGTGTAATTCCAATCCCTTGTTCTTTTCAGTCTATTGAGCTTATCTCTTATGTAAGCAGTAGGAAATGTGAGTTATGGCATGAAATGATATATACTGCCTGGAAGGCTGACATTCTTTTAATGTATAAAAGTCCTTGAGAAATCTTGAAGTTCACCAGCTCCTTTGATTTTGTGTAAAGATGTGATTTATGGTTGGGCATGATGAAAAAGTGTGAGAGAATTGGACAGAAGAATATGTACCTATGTTTTTGAATTACTTATCAGGGCAAACAGCATTCCTTGGAAAACTTTCTCATTGCTAAGTTCTGAAGAATAGTATTTCTACCTTGAAAGAGTTATTTGAGTGTTTTACTTTTGTGAAGAACTTTGAGAATACTTGAAGCTGAGGATTCAGTTAAAAATTTAGACTCATGTTTGTGAAGAAAATGCATTTTTCCTATTTTTCAGTTGAAGATACTAAGTTTAATAAAAAGGAAAAAAATCTTTGGAGTTGAGCAAAGAGAAAAAATTAATGCTTTGGAGTTAAACAATATCCTTCTTTAGAACTGGACTGCTATCTGCTTTTTGCAAATTTGCATCCTCTAAGCTTTCTATGCACCAAACTTCTAAATGAAAGGGTTCTTTCTTACTTTTTGGTATTGTGTTTGTATTTAAACAGGGATCTTCTGTGAGAGTCACTCCTTGTGTATTGATTCTGCTCTAGAGCAGCTCATTCAAAGTAGCAGTTTACATCTTGTTTTTGATTTTGTTGGTCTCTGAAAGACTAATTAGGGGCATAGGTGAGCAGCACTAGGGAATCCTGTGTGTACACAGCCCTGCAGTTTTTGTTGGTTTTCTAGTGGTTTATTTTGACCTCTTGATTAATTTGAGATTTCCATTCCAGTTTCCACTACTGATTCATGTCCCTGACAAAATCCAGAAAAGTCTGTCTCAGTTGATAACTCCTCCTACCTTCTACTACCCTCAGTTTGTCACTCTCCAGGTCTGGCTGTGGCATGGCATGTCCTGGGATGTGAGCCCCAACTTGCCCAGGTTGTTCTCTCTGCAGGCAGGTAGAGAAGACATGACAGCTCAGATACCTCCTCTGTACTTGAACATGTCTTTAATGCTTCATTAAACCAGGCAGACACTTCTGGGTTCCTTAACTATATGTCCTAGAACATTTACTTTCTTTTATTTAATGGCACCATAATTAAGCCTTATGAAACATGTTTATTAACAGCCTAATTAAATATTTGGCTTACATTTTTGTCTCTGTTCATATTTGTTGTTTGTAAGAGCATCACAGAGTGACTTGTTATGGGGGTCACAGTTCATGTGTGAGGTCCTCTCTGGTAATTTAAACTCCTGATGGGCAAATTTAACATAATGATCAGTGCTGATTTTGAAGGAATATTGTATGTAATGAAATGACACCATGCCAAACACATGGCAGTGAGGTGTGCTAGTAAATCCCCAAAGTGAGATTTCAGTGTAAACTGTCAGAATGTGTCAGGTGTGCTTGTTAATATATTATTTCATTCAGGATAGGTCTGTTTTCACCTGGTGCATGTGCTTTTGTTATGAGGTTTTGTTGTGAGGTCTTCATCTTGAAGTAATACTGGTTGTGTACCTGTTCCTCTTGTTTTACAGATGTCTGTTGTGATGATTATAATGTTCTTGGTGGCATGGTCTCCATATTCTATTGTGTGTTTGTGGTCTTCCTTTGGAGACCCAAAGAAAATTTCTCCTGCGATGGCCATCATAGCTCCTCTCTTTGCAAAATCTTCCACATTCTATAATCCCTGCATTTATGTCATTGCAAACAAAAAGTAAGTGCTCTGAAATTAGTAGCAGTCTATTTCATGATTTTAGCATATCATCTGAGTATAGGAGGATCACCTGTAAAATATGGCAAGCTTATTAGTGAAGAGCAAAGGGTACACCACTGTTAATTTGCTGAAGATGACCTTTTGGACAGGAAGGCCTAAAATAAATTGTTATGATTATCATCAGAACATCCTGAATTGGTACATATTTTTGAGAACATATTAATGTAGCTTTTGAAAGTCCCATTTGTGTTTTCTCAAGGGGAGTCAGTATGGAATTTAGATTGCATCAGTAATAGCCTGGTTTTAATGACTGTGGCCAAAGTGTGTTTGTCTTAGTGATGGGTAACTTGTGTAGATTTTCTTATTTGCTTTTGGATGTATCATATTCTGATGGATTAGGATGGATTGACCTCTTTCATTAAAGTAAATAGGTTAAGCCTATTCTGATTTGAGCAAGCATAACAAATGCTCTAATCAAGCCAGTGCCTTTGACCGAGGACTGTGTTTTGCAAAGAGGCATTCTTCCTGCCTCTGCTACCAACCTTCAAGCAGAGCCTGTGATCTCTGCCTAGGCAAACATACCTGAGCCTGCTGGGACAATGGAAAAACATCTGTGTTTTTTCCCCATTTTGTAAGTTCATCTTTGTTGTGGCTGTATACTCTCCTGGGATAAACAAAAGCTGCTGTGATCCCTATTTAAGAAATGAAATTAGGTTTACACTCTTTTACTTGGAAGTAAAGAACACCCAGGTCCTTTTCAGTTCCAAGTACATGTTTTTTTATTCAGCTCATTCTATTAAAATTGAAAACCGTTGTAATAGTTAAGATCATCTTAACCAATTTTTTCCCTTCTATTTGGTTCTCCAGCTAATGATCTTTCTGTTTTCCCTATCTTGCCCTTTGCAGGTTTCGGAGGGCAATCCTGGCAATGGTGCGATGTCAGACAAGACAAGAGATAACCATAAACAATGCTTTGCCCATGAGTGTATCTCAAAGTGCACTGACATCGCAGAACTCCAGTCATTTGCCTGCATAAGTTACATGGAAAGGAGTGAAATCTGGGTTCAAATTAATGAATCTTTTGGACAATTTATTTTTGAATAATAATCTTTCCCAGCTAGCTGTTTTGTGTTAGTCACAGTAATCTTTTTAGAGAAGTTAAGAAGACAAAACCTTCCAAGACTTTAGTTTTTGAGAGTGAGGTTTATGGTCCAGTATTTCTGTCACAAATGAAAAGGGGTAGCAGAGTGGCCACTGTGACTTTTACAGAGTTAGACAAAGTGACAGAGGGGCTAGGAAAGACCAAAGCACGAAGTTCTTAGGTTCAGTAACCCCAGATTTTTCAAATGTATTAATGCCTTTCATGAAGTACTTTCCACCAGCTTCCCTTGGAAGTTTTCCAGACTTCAAATATTCTGGATATTCCCTATGGCTGTATATGTCCATACCAAGTGTCCATGTTGATATGCTTTGCAAAGTTCTATTTCTGTGAATATGTTAGGGTGTCAAAATATTTACACTGACCCCATATAATTTTTTATTAGGTTTTAGGATTTTAAAGGCATTTCAGCATATTTAAAGTATTTTAAAAATTTGACTGGCAGAACCAAATTAATTTGTAGTAAGGACAACTTTTGTTTTGTAAGTAGATGTTTCTAGTGGTTGTGACTGCACAGCGAATCCTGAAAATGTGACAAAATGTACCCTAAAGCTTCACACTTGTGAGGCACATAAAACTGAGTAAATATTTATGGTAATTTCTCATCATTTCTAAGTCAATGTTATGTTTATATAGGTCTGGTGTTTAATTTTAAAGAAATACCTTTGTCAGTATGATCAATGGATTTTTTCAGGGTGAAAAAGATGACTGTATAGGTTTAGCTTCAACTATTATATGTGTGCTCATATGCAGTTTGGCTTTGCAGTGTAAAATTTATTTGAAGTCTATATGTATTTTTGGCAAAACCCTGTTTTTGCGGGATTTTTTAAAAGCTCTGGAATCTAGGCTTCCTATTAATTTGCCATTTTCAGTATTAAAGAAAATGCAATGCAATATCCTCATGGTGTACTAGATTTCCTTCAGGAACCTTGGAACGCTTTATAGGCAGTACAATACACTCACTGCCTCTTAGGAGAAGAAAAGAGATTTTATTGCACACTAACTTTACATGTCAAAAACAACCTTGGAACATGGTTGGATGTGATTTGAAGCAGTGTGTTCTGACAGAGTATAGAACAAGCTGGTTTAACTGATGCTGTTCAGGATACATTTGAAGGTTAAGCAACTACAGATCTCGGCTAATCTGTTGTAATCTGCTGTTACTAAATGGATGGCTACATTCACATTTGTAGCACACTGCATGAGTGCCTAGGAATAAAGCTTTCACATTTCTTCATGTCAGTTCTTCTGGAAGGAAGCCATGTATCTGTTTATTTGCTTCTACCTCCTAATGAGTTTTTTTGAAGAAGTTCATGGCTTTTGTCCTTCACAATGCACATGCGTTTACCATGGCAGAAGTGATGGCACTGGAACAAGGTATATGTTTTATTATTTGTTACATAGGGAAATCTATGAGGAGAAGGGTTGAAGAAATTGTAGAAAACATTGTCAGACACTGCAAATTATTTCTAGCATAGTTGCAGTGAAGGCATATTTTACATTAGCGTTCTATGACTTGCAGCATTCCTGAGCAGGAGCAGATGGTGATTATGGCTTTGTACTTAGCAAATAGCTACTCTAAATCTTCATTTATTGTAGGAGGCAATTTGTTTCTGCTCCATGACATTCCTACTATTGCGATATCCTTTCTATTTCTACAAACTACTTAACTAGTGGAAGGTGATTCCGGTTTAAATAAATACAATAGTTTCCTATTTATTTTTTTAATCTGCAGTAAATGTAATTTTTGATAATAAGGAGGTTAATTTGAAATGTGGTGACCTGGTATTGTCGTGTCAATTTTAGGAGATACTCTTTGTCATTGCTATTTATTGTCACAGCCTATCTGGCATAAAGCTGAATGAGGAAAAAGTAAAATAGAGGAATAATCTAGAGAAAAGGGGGAAAAAAGAAGGATAGACTTAAAATGCAGGGAAATCTTCAAGCTAGTATGTACAAACAATATACTCCAAAGAAATTGTTTCCTGAAATCAAATAACTGAAAATGCTGAGAAATCCCATTTCACTGAAATCATTGTGAGCAGAAGGTTCTTTTCATCTCTATAAAGCAAGTAATTTGTGCATAGACATCAAAAAGAGGGCTAGAAAGCTCTTCTTTACTGAATTTTCTTTGGTATGTTTTCAATTTTCAGTCTGTTCTGAAAGGTAAGTACAGAAAATACTTTGAATCTTCATCATACAGACAAATTAGAGATTATTAATCTTAATTCTGAATTTTAATAATTTTAATGGGGGGCATGCAGTTCCCCCTTGATATACATGCATGTATTGTTCCTTGTGCAATGGCATCTGTCTTTCAGTTGTCAGTAGAGTGAGGGGTGGACAGAGGGTGGTGCTTACATACTTTAGAATAAAGCAAATCTAGGTTTCATGTGAAAAGATCAGTTCTGGTTTGTATTCTTTTTGTCTTTAGAGACCATGTTTGTGGAGTTTCTTCAGCTTTCAAATGCAGAGGACTGTTTTTGAGTTCTGTGTTCTTTGTTCTGGTAGTAGTGTTGCAGAAAGTTACAACATTTGCATTTAAATTTGAAATTCAAATTTCTGAAAAATAAATGCAAGTATGTATCTTTCCCTTTTTTTTTTTTTTTTTTTTTCCCCCCTGTTGCTAGGTCTGTACTCTGTAATGACCCTGACATGTATGAGATCCCTGTGAATGTTCCTGTGGATACTGTAAAACTTCGTATAGAGAAAACAGTCATACGAAGGATTCCAACTGAAGCCTTTTACTACCTGGTAGATCTCAAATACCTGTGGGTCACTTACAACTGTGTAGCCAACATTGATATCAGCAGCTTCTATAACTTGAAACAACTGCATGAGCTGAGGCTGGATGGTAATCTGCTTTCAACTTTCCCTTGGGAATCCCTGGCAGAGATGCCAAACTTACGGACTCTTGATCTTCACAACAACAAAGTGACCAGCATTCCTGCTGATGCTGGCCGCTACCTGAGAAACCTGACCTACCTGGACCTGTCCAGCAACAAGCTGACCACATTGCCATCAGATCTTATGGACATTTGGCCTCCCTTCTCAGGAACTATCGTGTCCAAGAATACAGACATTCTGGTGACACAGAGAGTAATCTTGGGTATGTTGAATAGCCCGTCTCATTCCTTACTAAAATATACCTAAACATTAAATTGCAAGTGAGAGCAGTTAGGATTCAGGAGCAGCCTAGGATTCAGGAGAGGGGGTTTTACCCAGGTCACTCTTGTGGTTTGCTCTATGGTCATTTATTTATTTTCTACTGGTAGCAGAAAACCATAAAATGAATACAGTGATTTTCATGTGTGTTGTTACCTCAAAGCTATAAAACTGAAGCAAAAGCTATGGGAATCCAGCTTTCAGGAATATAGACCATTCAGTAGCTATATAAATACAGGACTTACATTGCATTTCTGGTGACATTTCCCTCATCTTTGTATGTGTTTGCAACTGTAAGCATGTCCATTTGCAGCTGCTTTTTCCAGAGGCTCCCAAGCCAAGCAAGCAGCTAGAGCTGCTGCTCATATAAAGCCTGTCCTGTGACACAATCCTGCAGACAGTGTTGGTGGCTCAAAATAGGGCAACTCCTGGGACCACTGTAGACCTTGCATTACTCTAAAGCTGACTGGTTATCCTGAAGTTTTTCACAATTTACATATTGAATATGAAAGAGAATAGGAGTCTGATCCCTATATATTCGGGGTAGTTTTTGTGGTGTTTAAGGTAAGTATTTAAGAATAATTTGGTCAGACTCTGTCTTTTTTCATGATTTGATCCCCTTCTCTAGTGTGCAATTGCATCAGTTCTGTTTGTGGCATTGTGCTTTATCTGACACTTTATCTCCACTTCCTAGTCTTGCCAGGGTAACCCCTTTCTCTTCAGTCTTGAGCTGGAACAGTTCTAGCAATACTGTTCTTTTCCATCAATGTTTACATATAAGTACATATTTTGACGTGTTTGTAGTGCAGCAGGTGGAAGGAAGGAAAACCAGCTGGCTGTCTCTACAGCAGTAATTCTGTAAGCACTGGTAAAGATCTGTCCTGCATTGTACTGCCCAATATTTCCAATTTCTTCATCTAAAGCCCCAGTATTCAGTGTCCATTTGTTCAGCTGCTTTGTTTCACAGCAGAAGCTGCAGCTTGAAACACTCATTCGGATAATATTTTAAATAAGTAACTAAATAGATGCAAGTAGGCTGCATGACTTCGTAAGTATGGTAACTGTAGGCTTGCATCATTAAAGGGTTTTCATTTATTCAGGATTTAAAAAAAAAAAAAAAGAAGAAAAAAAGTAAAAGCTGTAAAAGTGAGTCCATCTCAGTACTCCTTTCCCTGTCCCCACACTGAAGACTACAGGAGGCTGTAAAGTGGGAGCTGATTGTGCTAGTTCTAATCCTCATGATCTCATGTGGGAGTCCCAGAAGTTAAGTGGTTTCCTTGTCTTATATAGCCCTCACCACTTCAGACAAAACAAAAAGAACTAAGGAAAACAAAATAACCCCCAACACGAAAAACACCAAAAAAATCTTAAACCCTCACACACTCTTCTCTCCCTTTAACTCTGGGAATTATCTGCAGGCTTCCTTGGTGCAGGCACTTTTCCAGCCTCCTGTAGCCCCCAAACCCTCTGGTGTAGTCATTGAGTTGTTTGAAGGCTTGTGTTGTGACCTTTGGACCATTCTCTGTTGTGAACAACAGCTGGGTTTTAACACAGGACTCCAGAGAGGAACACACTGGGTTTAAACAGAATTTTGCTTCTCTTTTTTTTAATTATTGTTAAGTGCTAAGGGAGGCTCTGTGCAGCCATTATAGATTTGCAACTGAAAATACAAAATGCTAGGTAGTACCTTTCCTTGTGTTACATTGAGTAAATTTACCTTGGGTAAGCTGTGAATGAATTAGCTGAATTTTATTTTCCATTGACATCATAGTTTTCTGTGAGTATATCCCAATGCGGACAGACATTGCTTGCTACATAAGAAACTCTATAGTGGGTAAGGAAACATCCTCTTCCTCTGGAGATTAGAAAGTGCAATGCTCTTTATGTCATGAGGTATCTTGACAAGTTTATTTAGACTCCACTGAGTTTAGTGCTTCCTTTCTGACAGACCTCCTTTCTGTACTGGGCTTGCTGGAGCCTGAGAAAGAAGTGCATCCCATAGATATTCTCCTCCTCCTCTTCTGAGCTACAGATAGGTGTCACAGAGATATGTGGTTAGGAAGGACCTAGCCTACTGGGATACAGGTCCAGAGGAGCTGAGCCATTCCAGTAAAGTCAGTGCTGTTCTTAAAGCCTGTGGCCAGACCACCCCAGAGCCTTCCATGATAACTTCCTCCAGTGCTTATCTATCAGGGTAGTGAGAAAGTTTCTCCTAATACCTAACCTCAATCTCCCTTACTGCAAGCTAAGCTGATTACCTCTTGTCTAGGTTTTCCTTCCCTGTTTGCTGTCCTAACTAACCACACCATTTCTTTCACCAGCTTCTAATATAATGTGAAGGTTTTTGTAGTTTTGTTGGTTTTTTTTTTGGGTTTTTTTTGTTTTTTTTTTGGTTGGCTGGCTTTTATTTGAATTGGGGGTTGTTTGGTTTGGTTTTTTCATTTGCTTGGTTTTGGTTTGGCTGGTTTTTTTTTTTTTGCTGTGTGTGGTATTTTTGTTTTCATTTTCTGCCATAGTTACTGCTCCCTTTGGACACCTTTAGGTTTAAAAAAATATTTCTCTTAAAATGTGATGCTCACAATTGCACACTTTGATGCTCAGGAGTGTCCTATGTGCTCCAGCCACTCTCTGTGAGAGCATCCAGCCTGACCTGTGTACCTACATGGAACCCTCACTGCAGCCAGGACTCTGCTGGAAGCTGGAACCCAGACAAAACCCAGGTTTTGTCTAGTCAGGAAAACAGCAGTCAGATTCTAATTAGTGTAATCAGTTATGGCTTGAGCTGTCTTCACTCCTGGTTCTGGCAAAACAAGATTGTCACGTGTATGTAATTAACAAGATCAAAACCAGCAAGGCCCTAAACTCATATGTTTGTGCAAATGCATTTTTTAAAACCAGGAGGCAGTTTTATCATTGGTGTCTTGACTGAGCAATTCCAGTTTGTCATCTCTGTACTAAGAGGTTTGAGTTTTTTAACTACCTCTCACTGTATGAAGTTCCTCTGTGTGTGCACTATGCTAAATGAAAGAGGGTTAGGGAAGGAATCCTGGCCCTCTGGCCAAGTGGCTCACTCTGGCTCTCATCCACACAGTTTAGGGCCAGCTCTCTTTAAAGAGAGTGTCTGTTCCACACTTCGTAAGATTTAGCCCTTGGTTCTCTGTGGGCTCTACAGGATGCTACAGTGACTCTCAAATGTAATTCTGGGAATGGGGGTGGTTTTTCTTCAGTCTAACCTGCCTGAAGTTATGTGAGAATGACATTGGAAGTCATTCATCTGTGCTTTTGGAATCTGAAATAGCAGGGGTATGTTGTATGCCTGAAGGGCTGACAGACACGCAGAATAGTTGGAAGGTACAAAACCTGCTGCACTTGCTTCAGGGGAAACGACAGGATAGAGAGAACCTTCCTTGGTGTGGTCTAATCTATAAACCTTTCAGGAAGCAACCCCTGGAGTGCTGACTGTCCCTGGACCCATGTCTGGCTTTGTCTTGGGAAGTGCCCTTTGGAACAGCTCAAAACAAAGCTGTGGAGTGAGCTGAAAATTAAACAGTGCAAATCATTGGGGGATCAGCGTGTGAATTCATCTGGCCCTCTTGGTTATCTCTGGAGCCATAGCCTGATACTTTGATCCAAATCACAGCTAAATCACAGATAAAGCACTGGTTGCTGTGCAGAGATTTACATTTCTGGCAGGAATGATGGCAGTAGCATTTTCCATATGGTGGACTCTAGTGAGTCACTGAGAGGAAGAGAGGAGTCCAATATTTGACAGAGTAGCAGTTATGTGAGATTTTGCCTCTGTTACATGCAGAGGTGCCAAAAATTTGGAATACTGCAGGTCCATGAGGCTCCTACCTGTTATGCTAAGCCACGGGGTAGATATTGCTTTTCCTGAAATTACTCCATTAGCATCTGCCATGTGGTGAAAATGCTGCGACACAGTGTTGGATATGGAATTTACTGTTTAGAACCATGGATCAAAATGTGTAGGTTCAGTTGGAAAGAACTTGGGGTAGGCTGGCCCAAGGTGTGGTGAATATTTCTGTTGGCCCAAAACTGGAATATTTTACATCTTGCTATTTTGCAGTGACTGAAAATCAGTGTATTACACAAATTATGGTCTGAGTCTGGTTACTGATTTACAAATGAAGTTTTGCTCATAGCTAAAGTCCATATTGACACAGCCCAGGGGAACCCTGCTTACTGGGAAGACTGCAAAAATGTGCATGCACAGACACACAGATACATAAGTTTGCCATTGTATGTGTAAGCATACATATAAATGTGTGAGAGTAATTATAAAATATGGAAAATCTAGAATAAAGGGTTTTGGAGAAATTTAATATTAAAATAACACTGCATTGGTATATTGCAATGCATAAATATTTATCAATGTTTGTTTTGCCTTGGCTAGTATTTCTTTCTCAGATCAACAAGCTGCCTTGATATTTCTACAAAAGAACCCAGGGTTTATAGAGACATTCTCTTTCCTCAGATTCATGTGTCATCAGGGATTTATCACTATTTTCATTTTTGCTTCTTAAGAAATTATTTCTTATATAAAAGATCCCTAATCTTTTCAATTTTTTTATTTCCCCCCCTTTTTAACCTTTTCTTTATTCTTTCCCATGTTTGTTCTCACTTCTAACATCTTGTCAGCACAAGCTGCTAAAGTTCAAAATGCCCCTTGTAGTTTGGAAACTAGGTTTACATTCATATTTCTGTTCTCTTCAACACTAACTGAATTATAATGAAATGCAGTGTTTTATCTTGTTTCCAACTCAGTAGTGCTTTCATCTTTTCATTTTGGGAATTCACATAACTTGGTGATTTACAATGGCTAGATAAACGTGAATACTGTCAGATATTGGCAATACACAGATAAACAGAGGGGCTGTGCTGTGGGGGCAAGGAGCTGTGTCTATTATATTTATTTGTATAAGTTCTGCATCTTTAGGAGTTTCATCAGGAAGCATGATGGATGGGAAATATGAGGTGTCTGACTGACATTACTCTTCCTTTGCTCTGCATTCAGGCTGTCAAAACTGTGTCCCAGGCTGGACAAAACATCCAATCTAAGGATTGTTCGTTGTTACTTCATCTTTCCTTTTATTTTGTCAGTTTCTGATACCTATTATAATAACTTTGGCTTTTCTTCAGGGCACTGGGAGAATATGAAAGCTGTGTAGCTGTATATATTAGGAAAAGTTCCTTCAGTGAAAGGGGGCTCAGGGAAGTGGTGGAGTCACCATTCCTGGAGGTACTTAAAGGACATGTGAATGTGGCACTCAGGGTCATGGTTTAGTGCTGCACTTGGTGGTGCTGGGTTAGCAGTTGGACTTGGTCTTAAAGGTATTTTCTAATGTAACTGTTTTTTGGTTCTATTTCAAAGGCTTCTGAGTGCTTCAAGTAGCTTAAAAGCAATAATAAACCCCTTCCTTTCCTGCAGTAAATTTCTTAGCATAGTGAGGAAAATTGCAAGAAAGTGAGAAGAAAAAGAAAATTACAGGAGTATTGTCTCTGACTACAGAGCTTCACTAACTGAAAAGATGAGGACAAATCGTTACATATATGTGCTTGATTGAGCAGAATTTTTATAAGCACAAGCAGTTGATATGTCTAGATATAGAAAACTCTTGGATAATATCTTTTCTCCTTATGAATATATGTGTGAAGTTCACAGGAAATTTTTTAAGTTTTGGAGCTTTTTTTCGAGGAAAATCAGTTGCTGATACACTTTCCTTTGACTTCCCTTTCTCTGTTCCTGCAAACAATAAGTAGTCAATAGATGTAAAATCTCTTCTGTCTGGAAGGGGTGAAATTGGATTGTGATGTCAAAGTCATGGAATCTCTTCAGGTCAAGTCTTGTTTTAAAGAGCAGGGATTAATTGGGGTTTACCACAGTTTTAACCAATCGCTACCATTGTGCTTAAAATAACCTAATCTTGGTCTGGTTATAAAAGGAAAAAGTAGTTAATTACTCATATATTCTTTCATCTGCAGGTTTTTATTCCAGAACCCATCATTTTTCCAATAGCTGTTTTGATAATTCTTAACGATACACTCTGAAAAATATTTGCAGGTGTTCAGGACTCTTTTTTTCTTTCAGTACTGGTTTGACTTATATGACTTGCTTGTTGTACTGATCAGTAAATTCAGTAGCATAGGGTCCTTGCATGCCATCCCTTATTTCAGACCATAAGTTTTGTTTATTAGAAGTACTCAGAGAAAATTAGAAAGACATATTAAAAAATATAAGTCCAGCAAGAAAATACTTGAACTCCTGAGTGATATGCTGTGTTGCTCTATGAAGGTCAACATAGCGGAGCAGGCAATACCAGCTGAGGATTTAGACTGATATTTCTCAGAAATGGCTATTCTCTTCCAACATCATAAGCTCACAAAGAGGGAAAAGCTTCTTATTCATAAACTGGAACCAAGAAGCAAATGTTCCTGGCTCTGACAGAGGAGAGACAGGGTTCTTGTGTGGCATCTTAAAAATATTGTAGTCATTACAGTGTTTTGTGGTCCTTCCTATTTTCTACTCTTTTGCTATTCTTCTTGAATATATTTCAGAGGCTGTATTGAAGCCAACTTCTAACAGTATTGGTGTTAAATTCTGTTGGCCTAAAGCGCTTTCTCCTTAGCCTTTATCCCGTTTTTTCAAGGGGCAGAGATGTTGGTGTAAGCTCTAAACCCTTAAATCACCGTATTCTCCTCAAGCATTGAAAAAAGGGTCAGGGAAGGTCAAGCTGTAAGAGCCCAAAGGACTAAGAGCAGAGGAGAGTGACACTAAGCAATAGCCCTAAGAAGCTGTCTTTCCAGGAGACACAGGCAGGTGAAAATGTATCATCAGTCTTAAGACATATTTTCAAAGATGTTCTAAATGTGGTAGATAAATAGCAAAGTTAAGCACAAGTAATGCCAGCACATCACTATGCTGCTGTAAACTTCTGTGAAAAATAAGTTTAGCTTAATAAACATTCATACTGTTCTCCCTAACCTCTGAAAATATTCCCCCACCAAGCAGCTGAAGAAAAAACACAAGTTGAAAGAGAAAAGATTAACCCAGAACAGGTCCAATACTTGATTGTATTTGGGAGTAGTCATGTGTCATACTGTCATCACAATTGACTGAAAACATTTCTTTTTTCCTGCTTCCCTCCTTGCCTCAGGTTTTCAGGACAACCCGTGGTTTTGTGACTGTCGCATTTCAAAGCTAATTGAATTCTCCAAAATTGTGGACACCTCCGTTGTACTTCTTGATCCACTGATTTCATGCAGTGGACCTGAGAGCCTGGCAGGAATCTTGTTCCAGAGAGCTGAGTTAGAGCAGTGTCTTAAACCGTCTGTGATGACCTCAGCAACGAAGATCACCTCCCCGCTGGGCAGCAATGTCCTGCTACGCTGTGACGCCACGGGGTACCCAACACCACAGCTCACTTGGAATAGGTCAGACAATATTCCAGTGAACTATACAGGTATAACTGCTCTTTTATAGGAAATGGGAGAACCAAAAATGGTTGGGTTGCTTGTGCTTTGAGATCATTGCAATGAGTAACAATGGGCCATGTATTGTGTCGAGCTGGCAATCATATCTGTGCAGCAGCTGTTATGAAATTCTATGTCTAGTTCTTGGTCTTAACAGGTCCAGCAGACTGTTTTGATTCAGGATGTGGTGTGTTACAAGAACAATGTGTGTGGAAGGGAGAAATGGATGAAGTGGGGGAAGGATAAAGGGAAATGGAGTTTGGGTTAGTTGGACCCCTAACTCAGAAGCTAGAAAACAGAAAGGAGAATTTTTTGCTGGAACCTGTGTTCGAAAATGTTTGTGCTAAAAAAGCCAGTGAGGCCATAACTGAATGACTTAAAATTCAGCATTGTAAACAAAAAATTTTCCAAATTCATGTTTTCTGTGTGCAAATGATGCAAGGCTATAATTGTCTGACATCATTCTAGCTGCTGGATAGATATTTACGTAGTTACTTAAAGGTAAAAAATGGTACTTGCTAATGCCAAATAGTTAGCAGTTATCATAGGTCTGATGAAGGTAAGAGAACTGAAATATCTTAGGACAAAGGTAATTTCCAATAGCATTTTCAGTGGGTAGCATGGTAAATGTCACAGGAAGTCAGTGGGTCTTGTATTTAAGAGTCAATAGCAGCTTTAAGACATTTGATGTCACTTTATGTGGTTTTGTGTTTCTTAGTGAAACTGCAAACTAGTTACTACAGACGTTTATTTCCATTTTGACCCAAGCTGAGTACTTGTATTTAATAGTAGAGTATGGCTGGGAATTCCATAGTTTGTTTGGGAAATTTGGTTTGTTTGTGGTTTGTTGTTGTGGTTTTTTGACTGCTTGTGTTTCATTTTAAAAATTTTTATATGTGTCATTCCTTCTGGCAAAAAGGGAAGAAGTAGTCTAATAATGTTTATTTCCTCTTTACTTCCTATTCATAATGTTTTACTCTTTGCATTTTCCCACAGTAATTCAAGAAAGTCCTGGAGAGGGTGTCAGGTGGTCCATAATGAGCTTGACAGGAATTTCGTACAAGGATGCAGGAGAATACAGATGTAAAGCCAAGAACTTGGCAGGAATGTCAGAAGCTGCTGTGACTGTCACAGTGGTTGGTGTAGTTACTACAACTGTGTCACCACAGAAATATGGGAGGAAGCCAGAGGCTGAGAGGCAGAATACAACTCAGGAGGAATCCAAGCAGGAACCCGAGAGGACAACCACACCTCTTCCCACCACACTGACTGCTACAGCTCTGGTTAGCACTGAAAGATCAACCAGTGCGGCATTGCCTGACAAAAAGCAATCCAGGCTCATGTTAGATGGAAAGAAAGTTTCAAAGGCAGCGACAAATGGAAACAAAAAGCAGGCTGGAGATTCAAGCAAGAAGGGTGAGGATACTTCACTGAACACAGCTGGTACTGCTGAGCAAAATGTTACTGTGAAGAACCTAAGAGTGATCAGCGAAACTGATGAAAGAGTGACCTTAACTTGGAAAACTGTCAATGGCTCCGGCAATTCCGCCGTGACTGTGTTATACTCCAAGTATGGTGAGAAAGATATGTTGCCTCTCAGCACTGATTCTAACAAAAACAAAGTCACAATCGATGGTTTGCAGCCTAGTACTCAATATATGGCCTGCGTCTCACCCAAAGGCGTGCCACCTACAAAAGAGCAGTGTGTTGTTTTCTCCACTGATGGGTTAAATGATGAAAGCAACTCTGAGTTCTCTATTCTGATAGTGGCCAGCAGTGCAGGCTGTGTGGTTGTTTTACCTTTGATATTTTTCTTACTCTACAAAGTTTTAAAACTTCATCTGAAACCAAAATCTGCAAAGGAAGCTGAACTTGCAAAAGAGACTTATGTACAATTTGAAACACTGTCGCTGAAGCCTCGAACACTGGGTGCAGGAGACCAGCTCTGGGCACGAAGGTACACAGATGAGTCAGAAAGACTTCTCCTTTGCTCCAGGTCAAGCATGGATTCTCAAATGACCTTCAAAAGTGAGGGCTCCAGGTCTGAGTATCTGTGCTGAAATGGGTGAGGGTGGAGATGCAATAAATAATAGGTAAAATTAATTTAAAATGGTGATCTGGAAGCAGGTTGATGCTAGATGGTGGTCAGAATACGTTATCTGATGTAATAGAGTCTTACTGGATGGTGGTGGGTAGGAGAGAGAATAGAAGAAAAATGTTGCCTGTTTCCTTTTTTTTTAATGTTTGTGATTTTGGATGTGAAGGAATGGTATTCTTCCAATGAAAAATACAGCATGAAATGGTTCCATGGTTAAAGGTATTTTATGGTTTTATTAAAACATTCTGTTTTCTCTCATTTTATCACATGATGTGCTAGTGGCATGTATCAAACATGAATCACAATCTTCTTGAAAGCAATGTACTTCAGCATAATAGGAAAACAGTTTTAACTACTTCTATTGGATCTAAACTTCATTTGAATATCCAAGTTTTCTTCTGACATCAGCTTGTGCTTTGAGGTGTCATACAGCTGTTTGTACAACATCTTGGGTTGAAGTATTCTCAAGATGTCAAGATGGAAGTCCCAGTTTATGGACTCTTGAGAGGTACAATACACATTGTATTGTCATTTTGCAGGTGTTATTGCAAAGGAAGCTTTAATGTCCTGAAGCTCAGGTAAGATGAGTAACTCTGAGAGACACTAGATAATTATGTTAACCTACATCAGATGATCTTATTGCAAAATCTCAGCCTTAGAATTTACTTGGATGTGATCTACTATATACCTCAATTTCAGAAATCTCTGTACAGAAAATTCTGTGGTTCTGTGTAATACAACACACATTCTTATATGTCAATATATTACACAGCAAATATTACATTGTATTGCAGAGTACTGCACTGCAGTAATGTAATACCTTTTGATATTCAGTAAGAGGAGGTTTTGTCCTCAGGGCATGTGGGATGTGAAGTTTAATGAACATAGTGAAAGTTAATTGCGAGTATGCTTCCCAATGTTTAAAAATCAGGAATTAATAGTAACAATGAATTCAGAAATGCCTCTTAATGATAATAATGAATAGTCTATTCTGAGCCTGCTTTTTTTTAAATGCCTGAAGTAAATAAGAGAACTTTTGTTGTTCTAGGTTCAGATATTATGTTTAGAAGTATGTGTGAATTGTGAGCCACGGTTTTTCCTGAAAATTACAGCTGTGTTGTTTTCTTGGACATTTATGCCTGGAGGAACTGTTTGTTTTGCTAGGAAATTGAGAATTGACATTTTCCAGAGGGAGAAATATTACTCAAAGCTACAAACCAAAGTTTAGTTTGTCAGCTTCAAAACAGTATCATTTCTCATTGTCACTAATGTAGGATGAAATTTTGCCTGCTGGAATGCTGACAAGCTTATCTTGACTGGCATAGCTTGGTGAGAGGTGTCAAAAAGCCTCTGACACAAAATCATGGCAGGAAATGAACACAGTGAAAAGTCTCTGGTGTGCAGTGACCAGGATCAGTAGAATGGATATTTGAGAGTATGGGAACCGTAGTAAAGAATCAAGTGAGATGTTCAAAAGTGCAAAATTAGCTTGTCTGCTTAGAATTAGGCTTGGTGTTCCTTTCTGTGTTACAAGTATGTGTGGTTAAATATCAATCTTTCTTCTTTTTCCATGAATAATTTTGATTGCAATGAAAATAGTTTTAGCTTTCTAAGCTATTTTACTTTGCAGGGGCTTTTTTTTTTTGAAATTTAGGATTTTTTAGGGAAAAGAGATTCTCTGTGTGTCAAAACTAAGGTTCATCTGACACATTACTGACAAACCAAGTTTGAACAGGACCTGAAGTGTTACAATACTTGCCTTTTATTTTCCTGATAGACAGTATAGTTGGTAGTTGTTGAAGGTGTTTCCAATTAAAAACACCATGTTTCTTGTTAATGACAACAATTGTTTTTAACTTTTTTCCTGTAGAGTATTTGATTTCAGGTTTCAAAGCTCTAAATCTAGTTCTGGAGTTCAAAAGTGATATCACCTGACTTGTAGGTGATACATCAGTATATCGAACGGAAGTGGTGCACGGTTCATTGGAGAGAGCTCACTTCTGAATGTTAAACCTTTTGGTTTGACTAATGCTTGTGGAATTAGCATGTCCTAAAGTCAGAAATTCATCTCTGGCCACATGGGCTATCTGTATATCAAAGGTGAAATTTACTATCAAGGGCATGTTCTTTCAAGAAAACATGTTATACATTATTTTTTCCACAGTTCTTGAGACCAAAGAGTTACATAATCCAGACATGCTTCTGTAACTCATGTCAAAACACTGAATGTGCTGGGGAATTCTGGCAGGAATTTGACACAAAGGGCAAATCACACAATAAAGACATTTGCACTGTATCACCCAGGATTGGTTTAACTAAAGGGCTGAAGAAATACTTTGCTAGGAGATGTAATTTTTTATATTGTCAGTTGTTAACAATGGAATCATTGTGAGATAGATTTTGTCACCCATAATGTGTGTAATGTCTTCTGAAATGCAATACTGGATCAAGTATCAGTATGAACAGTGTTGATTATAATCTGTGTAGGACAATCTGGGGAGGATTTAACTGTGTTTATGTATCGCCTTTCATATATTTTGCACTTTGTTTTCTGAATTCATCCTGCTTTTCACCAAAAAGGTTAGATCTCTTTTTATACATTACCTACAATGGCTGTGTCAAAACTGGATGACTAATGAAATAACTGAGTAATGTGAGCTGAATTCTAGGTAAACCTCATTTTTACTTAAGAGTTTTAGTGGGTGCTAGTACTTATCATATTAAGCCATAATCTTGGCTTCAGTGTGCACTTACTAAGCCAAACTTAAGGCATCTGTGCATCTATTTTAGTCCTTGCCATTGCTCACAGTGGGCTTTATATTCCTTTCACCATCATCAGATTCTCATACTTTTCTCAGGGAGGGAATTAAGAGAGAAAACTCTTTCATGTGTAACATGAAAATGTCTGTAATAGCAAAACCATTCATGCTTGGACTATGTCTAGGAGACTAAACAAAGGGCATTTCAAACTGAATACCTTTTCAAACAACTAAGTAAAATAGAAGTTGTTTTCATGTGAAAATAAAAAATTGTTTTTATACAAGACAGTGTGTTTGCCTATTCCTTTCATCTTTGTTTATAGCTTTGGACAATACCTGATGAATGTAGCAGTGGGGACAAAAGGAAGTCTGAAAAGAAATGAGAGAAAATACAGAAAGAAGGCTGAGAAACAACAGAAAGGTGGTATCCTAGAGAATTTTCTGACTGTGTGCCACAATGTCCTTTTGCTTGCAATTCTGCCACGTATGTGGCAAGGGTGCTGGGGCATCTGCAGACAGGTAGCTGTAAAATCATGGATGAAGATTGCAATTAAATTGCAAAAAACTGCTGGATTATTGCAATGATTGGATCTCTACACATGCTCAGTTTTGACAAGGTGAGGGCAGCAATAAAACTGGAGTGTGGAACAATGTCACCGGGGGAATTTGAAGAATGCACTTGAAGCTGGTCTTGAAGTCTGCCTGTGCCCCAGTGAAAGTTGTGAGAGGTTTTAGGAGACCACTGCCTTTAAACTGAAAAGGGATGAGCAAGTAGCTTATGAGTTTATTGCAAGAAAGAGGGCCTTGCATCAGCAACTGCTCTGGAGAGGCTCTGAAACCAAGATATAATATACTACAATCATCCATCTTGACCTATGTTTTTCTTTTAAAAGCAACCAGTTTGTTAGATTTATGGCTGGGAGGTAAACACAAACTTGAATCTTCAAGACCACAGACTAGGTTTCAAAATGAACCTTTTATAAACTATCTGACTGTGTGTAGATTGGAAATTTGCTGACATGGATGCCTTCTCTCACAGAATTCATTGCATTGTTCTAGGTGTTATAGAAAGCCACGGAAGCTCCAGGTCAGCATTGTCATGTTCCTTTGTTGAAAATGAGAAGTCCTCCATAGAACAGGTGCTTTTTTTTTATTTACAAATCACTGAATTTTTTTACTCTGAATTTCAAGATATCAGAGCTCCCTTCAGAGTGGAGGCACAAATAATGTGTCATTTTGATATATGTGAAAGACTCCCTTGCTAAACAGAGGAAAATCAAGCTGAAATAGTGATCTGAAACAGCCTGTATGAAGAAGATTTTTTTTTTTTTTTACAAAGCTGTATTATTCATAAGTGTTCAAAATGGGAATAATTTCAATCAAAAGGCAGAAAGCAGTCATGAACAAAAGGATATAATATTTCCCTATATAGAAATTACTGCACTTTTCTCCATTTTCCATTTTTTATGAAATAATATCCTAACCTAGTGTTTAAAAAGGAATGTAGAATTGCTGCAGCAAGATCAATAGCCTGTCAGGTATATATTTTAAGCATATTTGTTCTAACTTCAGGTCTGGTATTTCTGACAGACCCTTGATTGACTTAAGAGTATTACAAAAGGAGCTGACTGCAAACAACTACAACTAACCTCTCATAATAATGGAATACCAGTTTACTGATGGTGTGTGCATGTCTACATTTTTCAGAAGAGGCTCTGACAAGAAAATACTTTATTCTAAAATACGATGAGCTATTATTTGACTGAAATATCTTCTTTTTTTTAAGGAGGAGTCAAAGGAATTTGGTAGCGGTGTGGTTTCTTGTTTCTGGGTTTTTTCTTTTTGGTTATGATCTTTTATGGAACTAAGACGACTGAGAGGGGACTTGGTGAAATTCTTATGCCCAAAGAAGGCTAAAATGGAATGTGTTTTCTTACTCACTTTTAATGCAGGAGAAAGGAGCTTTATATGTGTGTGTGTGTGCACTGAGGGCAGGAATAGAGTATTTCAAACTTGTTGCCTCAGACAAAAAGTGCAAGCAGTTTCTTCTGAGGCCTCTGGTATGGGCTGCTGGCACTTGAGAATGCTACTGGACTAGATCGAAAGTAAGGACAATCCAAAATGACAATTACTGGTAGATTTTGTGCAACTCTAGTTTAAATTCAATGGGATGCTTGTTTGGTCAAGTAAATGAGTACTTTGT